TGGTTGCAAGACAAGAAAAAGAAAAAGATAAAGAACACCTGCTATCCTGCAGACACAACCCCTCACAAGGGCACACCCTAAAAAGGGGAATGAGGAAACTCCACATCACACACCTTCCATCCAGGTGGCAATGGAGAACACAATCCTAGAAAAAACCTCACTTGCAATAAACTGCGTTGTTGTCACTACGCTCAACAACTTCAGTTGTTGGCGCTTCGCACAACTACCGTTGTGGTGCATAAACTTTCTCTTCACATAGTCATCATCATCAACCACCACCGCCGCTGCTCAATCACTGGAGGGCACACCTTGGTTGCTTCTGCTGCTGCTGCGTGCTGTCTCCTGCGCTGCTGTTGGTGACTGTGGCGGTGGTAGTGACGTGTGGGAAGAGCCGGGCGAGGAGATCTTCACTGGGCACGTGCGCCGGAGTGGCCATGCGCGCCACGCCCTGCCAGCCGCCCATCAGGCGATCCACGAGGAGGTCGAACACGTCATCCACGCCGTCGCCCGTCTTGGCCGAGCACTCGCAGAACAGCGCGCCCAACTCCTCCGCCTTCCGCCTGTGTCATTGTCAACGTTGCCGTGTGTGCCCATGTCACACAAGAAAATAAAAGAAAAATGATGATTGACTTGACAAGTTTTACCTGCCCTCAAGCTCGGTCACAGCAGGTCTGGTCGAGGCCAAGTCGGTCTTGTTGCCCGCCAGCACCACGACCAAGCCTTCCAGCCCGTACCTGGCATTGCGCGTTGAATGAAATGAGGTAAGATTAATCTAATAAAACTAGCCAATGGCTATGAGAGAGATAGAGAGAGAGAGAGCATACTTGCGTATATCCTTCAGCCAGCGCCTAACGTTGTCGAAGGTCGACCTGTTGGCGATGTCGTAGACCACCACCGCGCCGTGCGCGCCACGAAAGTACATCGGCGAGAGCGATCTGAAACGCTCGGGTCCGCTCGTGTCCCACAATTGCAACTGACCACAGTGGCGCTCGAAGGCCGCGCCTATAGTCGGAGAACGATGGGCTTCGAATTCGTCATGCACGTAGCGGCGGAGGATTGCCGATTTTCCTGCGCCACTACGCGTGTGCGGTGTGCGGTGTGCGGTGTGCGGTGTGCGGTGTGCGTGTTATGGCTATTCACAGCCAAATCTTGAGAAATGGGGAATGCCGTACGAGTCGCCATGCATGACCACTTTGAGCGGGAGAGCGTGGGTGTTGCGTTTCCTGTAGTCGTGGGTGCGCCTATGCTCACTCGTGTGTCGTGCGTTGTGTGGTTGTAGTGGTGTGCCAGAGAACGTGCCTGAACTGCAAGACGGTAGCGCGCAGCCACGTCATGTAGGCGCCCTTCCATCCTCCTTCGCTGCTTGGTGTTGTGTGTTGTGTGTTGTGTGTTGCGTTTTCCATTCCTGAGTACCACCGAAGGTGCGTGCGCGTGCGCGTGCGCGTGCGCGTGTGCTGCGTGTGCGTGTGCGTGTGCGTGTGCGTGTGGATCGTGTGTAGTGGTGCCTGCGCCAACTAACCTGAGGACATGGTGATCGGCCCACGATGGATGACCGAGCGGCTTCCACAGGGCGTCGTCCCGGCTCACCGCCGCCAACGCTCGGCTCACCTGTTGTTGGGTTCTGGTATGAAAAAAAAACCCCAAATAATGTTCAACTGAGAGGGCTGTCGTCGGGCACCATGGAAAGGGAGCAGAGATCGTGCGCGTTGGCCACGAACGACAGCATGTGCACCACCACCTCCTGTTGCCCCCCAAATCGAACAGCAATAGTCAGACTACTGACCTTGTGCGTTGTGGCGCATTGTGATAACAAACATGTATGTATTGCGGTGGGGCGATGGTGGTGGCGGTAACAGCAACGCGTACCGGAGGCAGACTGTGGAGGCCCAGTCGTTGCTGAG